ACTTTTTTCCGCTGTGTGGAGGATTCTAGGTGTTTCGATAGGTTCTACTTCATCTTTGCCATGTGGGGAGTTGACAGTTGTTTTTATGACCGTTACCGGATTTTTGGCGTGTTTTGTAGTCCTAATTACCTGCTACCCCCCAGAGTTGGGTGTGGAATGCTGACTTAAGCCTAGTTTTGATGCCATAATGCTGACATCTGCGGAACATATTTTCATCTCCTTGTATGCACATCTGCACCAGGTAGGACCTGTGGACTGCATTGCTCTTTAGCCGTTACTGAGTGTGCTCCACCCCATTGAGTTTATTGCAAGCCAACTCATCCTCATGGTTGGTAGTTTTCAGATCATCGTACATTAATTCCACAACACGAAGCTAGGAGTTTGAAAAGACGTCTGGACATTCCGGCGCGAGCTACGAATATATAGTTCTACAAGTGAGGTGACTATCTAGTCGCAAGTCGCTCCGACGTTCTGTCAAGCATGCAAAAGTAAGAAAGACTTAGGTTGAGATAAATTTTGATTTTGGGAAACCCTAAGGACGGCTGATCAGGTTGCGCATACTGTTTATCAGGGTCATTATACCATGTCCGTTTGCAATATTGTTGATGCTGCTTAAGTTTTTGATGAATTGCGGCTAACACTATATTTCTAGTTATTATTGCCTAAAGTGCAAGTGGTCGTAAATGTGATGTCACAAGGAGATGACTTCACCTTACGCTTCACTTGTCACTGCAGTGATATCTGTTAGAATGCTCAAAGATTTCTTCCATGATCATTCTCCCAACTAATAATGATTTTGGTATCATTGGGTGTTGAAATGCTCGTAATATCAGCTGCAGCTCTGGCAGATGTTAGTGAATTCTCTGGACCTCAGTACACTGTACTGTATATTCTTAGTACTAACAGAGCGGAGATATTTACTCCGAAATAATCTATTCGAGTGCCAAGCTTGGTGGGATCGTCAAGTACCTTCCACCAGATTATAGTGAAGTAGAAATAAATGAATATGTAGTTTTAGAACGCAAGTGTAGTCAAGGAGGAGAACTTTCATCGGACTGCGTAGGTCTTCATAGATCACACATTCTTGGTATGTGTCACAGAAATGCAATGAAAGACATTCTCAGTGGATAAAGGATAGGTGAGAATAGTCTATCGGACCTGTTGTAGGAAAGTAGCTAAAAACAGTTATTGTGGTGTACACAACCCAGTCGAAATCCCCACGGCGCCAGATGGGTAGTATGAGAAAAACGGGCAAGAAAGACAAGGGGTTTTGCAACATTTCACATGTTTCTTATCAGTTTGCCCCACATTTTATTCACCTAGCTTCGCGTCCGGTGAATAACTCCGAGTTGCTGACGGTTCACTCCTCTCTTTTCAGTCTTGTGGTCTGTCTTGAGTTTCTCTGCGGAAATGTTGACTGGGAGATATTTGAAAGTCCTACATGCCATAATCTGGAAAGGGGTTACTTTCATTATTGTTCACTGAAAGCACTTCATTAGCCAGACAACTGGAGTGCACGCAAACAACTTTGGAATTATGTGAAGTCGTCATAGAAAGTTCACAAGACCTTTAACGAATTCACTTAAGGTTATGATATAGTTGGATGTGGATAAATGACAATACAAACAGACAGTTAATGTAAGACATCGCTCAGAAGTACATCAGTTCAAGTCGCTACACTTTACAGCAGTATGCAAAGAACAAGTGGTATTGTCTTAGGAGTTATTTCGCAATCAAGGTTACTGAAAATGTTCGGAATTTAAAAACCGTAGACGAGTGAATACATCTGTGCCACTGTGACCGATTACCAGTCATTTCGCTGAGAACCCTCAACCATTGATTCCTATCGTCTTGGGGACCCCTGCCTGGTAGACTACATCACGGCTCAGACCGACAGTCAGGGATTTCATTGACTGATGCCACGTCTTGGTCTGGTCACCTGTAACCCTCTTTCAATATAATCCAGCTTCTGCTAGCATGGTACGTTGAGGTAGATGGTGGCTTGGCACTTCAGTCGCTGAAAGTTCACAAACTCATCGATGGACTTGTCTGCCTTATCTGGTGCCCTCTTTCTGACCTTGACATAGCTAGCATGAAGATTCAACCATGCATGAGCAATGCAATGAAGACATGGCATCACTAAAAAAATATCGGCAATACCAAAACTTCTGTAAAACGGTTTCAGTCCACTTAAATCCAGTTGCTAAACTAAATCTCATGTACTTACCCTGAGAATTTATGGGGTAACAATGGAGAAGAACGCCTAATTCGGGATACTCTAGAGAAGCATGCTTAACGTTAAATTCACGTTCTCAGCCGGTTGTAATAATAAATCACTGGTTGAGTCGTGCAATGTTGAAGCTATTCCATAGTCCTATGATGAAGTTTTGAGTGAACAATGCATTTTCCGATGACTTAGTTTTCTTAACAAATATCTGCGTGTATCATGTTTTTGTGATACCATTATTTTATGACAAGCATCGATACTATTACGTAGCTAGTATGTTTTACTTCCGTGGGTATGCAGTTTTGCTGGATAAATTTATCTGAGCGACTTTACACATGGTATGGCACGCACGGAGTTGTATCAGAAGTTTCCTTCTGATCAACAACCCATGCATCTGTTCATCAGGGGTGGGTATCAACATGTTCATAAAACGGAACATATAGACTTGTTTGGAACATTTGTAGTGATACACAAACGGAATGGCATGATTTAGATTAAAGCGCTACTTCTAAGAGCTGTCAGCACAACCAAATGGACTCTAGTTTTACTTCATTTCACCACAGGGTATTCGAGACTGGTCCTGGTGAACTTCCCACTAGTTGTCGATAGCTAAGTCACGGTTTGTCTTTGTTGCATACTAATCGATACTCAGATCTGGTTGATCGTCCAGAGTATATCCCGAATGCGTAGATCGTGAGCTACTTACCGTGTCAAATGTTTGGTTTTTATGTGTGGTTAGCAGTACAAACCTGATGATGACAGTACCCGTTTTGTGAAAAATGATAGGACGGTATTACGAGGTGTCACCCGTGAGTGTCCTACCAGTGAATCTGAAGTGTGACATAGTCATACTGGAGCACTCACCATCCATCTTGTATATTGTTGAGAGATATCGCCTCAGGATAGCTCACTGTTGCAAAACCAACTTTGTATACTGACAACTTGGTGAAGGGTATTCCGCTAGGCTGTGATGAAAGGAGAATTATAATTTAATGTGCGAGCGTAAAAATTTACTGTGTTCTTACATCAGATAACACGTAGTCTGGACAATGGATCGGTCGGCGACCGAGCACTAGTCACAACACGGATTTAGTGTTGTACTTGCGAAGACTGATTGGAACTATACATGTTGGAAGTGCAAAGGGGTTATTTAGTTGCAGCTGGACGGAGTGTGCGGTTTATGAGGATACCTGAACGATGAGTTTCCGAGATACAACCCTGCTAAACATACGTCCAGAGTTCTACCTAAATTGTTTCGTGTGCTAGGCCATCAGGTTCATGCATCACTTATCAAAGGGAATGGTAGTGCGAGTGGTGACCTGTGAGACAAACGTGCTTGGAAATAACTAGGTGAATCGTTGAAGATGTTGATCAATTTATGTGGCTAAACATATGGAAAAGGTTATCAGCTCTTTCACAGTTAAAGAAACGAAAACGAGGATATGTATGATTCAGGAATGGTTCGGAATAAGAAAAATCTGCTTCACGTTTATTGTTGTGTTTTCTGGGCTGGATGGTTTAGCGGTGAAACTTTCATCGTCACCCTAGACACCATGATCAGCACAAACTCCAGAAGCAAGTGAGTTGCAAGGAATTCTCTGTAATCAACGTAGTAAGTTGTCCAGGTGATCTCGGGTTTGATCGGCGTTTTCTTTCGTAATACTATTATTGTCAGCATTCGTATTTCGACTGCTTCCTGTCAATCCAAACTTGAAATGAATCTCAGATTATAACTAGGGAATTTCGGATGTAATGATTGATGTCTTCTCTAGGCTAATCGAATAATATCTGCGACCGGTATATCCCCTAACCATATTAGAAAGTGAACTGAAATACTTGAAGATCATCGTACACTGACTGTTTTAGGGAGGGGAGTGTCAGAAAGGTGAAAACTAACAGCAAGCAACAAAGATGGTAAATTCCCGCATCTCGTTTCTATGAGTTTCTGAATAGCTTGAAACCCAGCACGAACTTCAGATGCCATGTGATTATTCAGCTTGTGGCTTAGCTGTGGTCATATATACTTGGTGATGTTACTTAATGGTTTTTAAAAGGTGTCTCTGTGGCAACAAGTATGTTGATATGATGTAATGTGGGTTCTTCACGTACATTACATGCGTTAATGTTCATACTGGAGGTTTCAAAATGGGCGTATAATGTACCCGAAAGGAGGCGAGAGATATTTTCTATATGTAAGTGTAAGAAGTATCTTAGTTACGGAAAGCATAGAAGGGATCTAGGGAAAGTACGACTATGGAGTTAAAACTGGTGGTTTAGCGGATGAATAGGACGTTATACGTAGGAAGCATGGAAGTTCGTTTGTGATTCAGTGTTCGGTTCAGGTTGAAGCAGTTTAATGACACCCATGAAGCTCACTATGGTAGGTATGCAGCCGGGTAGAACTAGGTAGTGGAAAGTCAAACTCAATTGACAGCCGTTTTGAAAAATTCTGGTGTGAAGATTTTGATGATGGACTGACTTTGAGTGTTCGTGCTAATCGCTTCGTCGGATTAGATTATACCAATGGGGTAACGTTTCGTCTGTAGGAGGAGGTTATGGTCTGTAGAAGTAGATATTAAAAACCATTGAGTATCTTTCGAAAGTTTTTCCTAGGCTGATTTGTTAAAATCCATCAACTGCATTTTCATTAGATCTAGTTCTATGCTTAAAGGTTTGTTGGAATAGTTGGACTTCATTGAGTATCAGTTTTCGCATGATGTTGAATCTGATGGATGTTCTTCACTTTATTTGTTCCGTTTTTACGAATGCCTATTATGACTCAAAGAATGACGCACTGTTCTATGTCGGAAATAAGTGAACAAGGTTTGTGCACTTCTTCAATAGAGACTACGCAGATGATGTCTTTCACTGATGAACGTTTTAGCCAAAATGCCAATGTGTGCAAAATCGAATATACTCACTTTGGTGAATTTTATGTTTGCACATTGTGTAACGTAAAGTGCACTGGAAGGAAACCCTTTCTACAGCATATATATGGATCAGTTCACAAAAGGAACTCCAATTCAAGTGAGACTCTAATTCCATATCATGATTTCTTCTGTAGACACATTTTTCGGAAATGAATGCAACGCGAACTTGAACTCTCTTGAGCAGTACGTCCCACATTGCAATGGATTGGGACATGAACGGAACGTACTTCCATCCTCTGAACGTTTGACTTCTGGACAAGGTTGCACCCAGCAAGGATCTGTTGGAGACAATGACGCTTCCTACTTTTGTACACCTTGTAGTCTTCAGTGTTCTTCTAAGAAACAACTGGATTGTCACTTGTTAGGTAGGAAACATGTAAGACGGTGCAGCAGACAAACAGCGTATTCGCCTGTTCAGCGGTCGGACAACGTTGTGTTGCAATCACAATCGAATCAGCTTGTTGACCTAGTGCAAGATTTTTCACAAATGCATACTTCGATGGAGTCAGCAGTTGGAAATTCGAACAACTCAACTAATGCAGAAATGGTTCCCTTTATTAGAAAGATCACAGAACTTGAGTCGAGACTCATATCAACGACTGGTGTTTCTCTGGTGTTTTCATCACTGTCATTTTGCTCACTTCCTCCATGTCAGCAACAAATGGACACAGATGACGCAGTCAGAGCATCTCTTCAACAAAGCACTTGTGACTCATATGAAAGCGAACACTTTTGTAGACACACTGCTTGTGTCTTAGTGCGATCATTGCAGGTGAGTTGGTGTTTTGCCACGATTATTTTTTTAGATCTTATTTACACTAGACAAACAACAATTGTATGTTCTTGAGTAATAATAAATGACAACCGAATAAGGTTGCAAGTCCATGATCATGTGCACGTTGGCGTACTGCTCTGTAGGTTAACATCTGTGTGAAATTTGACTATATCAGGCTGGCAAAGTTGACTAAACAGAGCATATTTCGGTTTCATGAATCACTGGTAGATAAATAAATCCTTGCATATATCCACACGATGGTTAAATGAGAAATCGGGGTGGGTTTCTTTGTGGGAAACTGGGAGGATTTCTTCGAGTGCTTCTCGCGTTTTGAATTTTTGGAGGAAGCATCTCTTCTCTAATGATGACAAACTTACTAGAGAGAATTATGCATGCATCACCGAAAGAGAAGCATTTCTTACACGAAACGTTTTGTTATATACAACGAAGCATATGTTTCAACACGGTAGATCATAGTTTTGTACCGTTTTTAATGATCCTGTTTCACATGCTTCAATATTCAAAATGCAAAGCATATTTGTGACCGTGTTTAGAGTTAGTCGTTTTCCTATTTCGTCTTCTGCTCTGATATGTTATTAAAATGAGTTGGGAAGCAAAAGTTCATTCTGAGTTGTTTTGTTTTGGATTGTTGTGTATCTCGAGAAAGTTGTAATCAACATGAGTACGATGGACATTTCATATAGTTTACCTAAAAGTACAAATGTCTGCTACCAAGGTGAAATATCGTATTCTGCTTTGCAATAAGATGAATTATTGTATTGGTAAATGTTTGTTGGTGGACATTTTAGGTTTTGCGTGAAACAGGCTTAATGTCGAAGCCACGTGTATGTTATACAAATGGCACTAAATACGCGCCACTTCACCTTTCTAACGATTGTCAGGCTGTTGTGAAAGCATTGTGCTTATTCACTAGGAATTCAACTAGTCAATTTTAAAACAGCAGTAAACTTGTGTTAACTATTGTCATCTGAGGTTCTGAAGTCAAACAAGTTTTTTTCGAACGCTAAATTAAGCTAAATGGTATGCTTTTCATTGCAGACTCCATCTAACGAGACATGTTTGTGCCCTATAGATATGAACTATAGCACAGAACTTAACTATCGATTCTCATTCCACGAATAGCCCGAGACTGAACACTTCTGGTCAGGTTTGGGACAGGATAAGGCAGTGGTGCATCCCCACTGTTTCTAGTGATTTCCAAGTTGTTGCCTATGTCATTCGATCTGGATTTCCCTATTTTACTACAGAGCACGTAATTTGAAGGTCGTCCAATGCCTAACTTAGGAGTGAGACAACATCTTCATCGATGAATACTTTCTTTTGGGAAGGCAAGTAATCACTTTCAAATTTCGTATATTTCTTCATCATGTAGCCTATCCATACTTCGGTTTGTATATGCACAATCAATACTTCACTACTCATGTTGTTTTTCCTTTGGAGTTTGACAACCTAAGCAACTGTTCAATGTGTAGGGTTACCTAATCACATAGACCTAGTTCCAACCACTGAGTTACGCCTTCGGCTTGTGTCCTACCTAGCAACTTGTGGACAGTCAGGTTATACTTCTACAGTTACGCACTAAGTGGGGTCGAAAGTTTGAAGGTAATTTGTGAGTTGTAGTGTTGTGTGGTGTCTTTATTTCTCTCCTCTTATGGGTATTTGTTAAAGTAGTAGATAAAGGCGTAAGTGGTGAAAAAGGATAAATGCCGATTCTCTGAAACCAAGTAAAAAGGTGTTTCCCTCTGTCCATTGTGATAGATTCTGCATCAATCATCAGGGATCTATGAGTAGACGTTCTTTGCAATTTGTGGAATTATGGTGTGAAGTGTTGGTGGTGGTTGCAGACTTTTGAGCTCAATGGTTTTTATTTATCAGTGGAATTATTTTTAAACTTTAGAGTAGAATTCTTCTTGGACAGAACCGTAGTTCGCTGACTAATTCACTAACAAATTAGCGAGAATGTGTGCGCATGACTTCGGTCCACGGAATGTAAAGAACGAAGTGTTTGATTCTGGTAAATACCCACAGTGATACATGTCAGTACACGCGTCTTGTATTTTCCCTTATTTCTCCAAGATAATGCGCCGATGATTTTGGGCACTCTCAATGCGGCATATCATCGATCCGAGTATTTTGTTCACATCCATCTTTTGTGCACTTTGTATATATATATATATATATATATATATATTCTTCTTTTTTAGTTTTATGAAAAGAGTCTATGTGAAAATCTTGGTGATCGAGATTGACCAGTTTGTGAACTTGTGTGGTTGGCTCTAACTGGATTAGCATTAGAATCCGTCGAAATTTTCTGTATATGAGAATAAAACTTTTAAAAAAATTCTTGATCCATTTGTGTCAGTTAAAAATTGAACATCCCATTATACTAAATATCATAATCATTATTTCACTGGGTGTTATATTGTTCATTAACTGTTCAGAAAAACTGTATTCACACCTGGAACTTTCGTTTATAGTTTCAGAAATGGGAGACGTAAACACCGTATGTGCATTATTTGTATTCATTTCCACATTTTCTACTTGACGTATGGGTAAATGTAGGTCTCAATTTAATATTGATTTACTGGTGAAGTACTTTCGTGTTTTGTCAACTGGTTTGTATCTCTCAATGCATGAAGAATCATATGCTCGTACAGCTGACGATGAGTTTAATAGTGTGCGTCAATTGGCAAGTAACTAGTTTTCGTCAGAGGTGCGTCCAAGAGTAGCATGTTTATTCTATCGAATGGGGTATGTAATAGCATGAATGGAATTGTGAACCCACTAGTGCATTATCTCATGATGTGGTGGTCGGAGGTGTGACAACTTGTACTTTTATGCAGTAATCCCAAGCTATTTGTTTATATTGTCTGTCTTGTGACGAGAGCAATAACTGAGCTTTTGACTTATAAGCTGTGCGGAGTTTTGAATTTGATATCGAGGAATAAGCAAATTTTTCGTCTGACACGGAACTGAGTGTGTAAAGTGTCCTTCTGTGTATTTTGGTTTGAGTTCATTTTTGTCTGGGGTTTGCGGCAGTTCCTCAGGGCGTAACTGGAGACAATGATAATAGCTCCATTTATCGGTTGCTGATGTGAGGTAACACGTTACTGTTATATGAGTAATCAACGGTGTTGTAATAATAGCAGGTCATACTAAATATGACCCGTGCGCGGGGAAATAGCGCGAATAAACAGTTCAGATGTATACAAAATTGTAAGTGTGGAATATGAGGGATATCCGAGTGGTCCGTTATGTGTGACAATGAAGTATGGTATAGAACCATGCACTGTATCTACTTACATTGGAATTGGCTGTTCGACTAAGTGGACATTGACGCAGTAGGCGGCTAGCCACACTTATAGTATTTGGACAAATCCTGTCAGGCTGCCTAAACATCTATAGAATTCGCCGGGATTCGAACTACCCAACCCACTAATCAGAAGTCGAGTGCCTAGACCAATGAACCACATGTGAACAAGGCACTTATGCCCGAGCGTCGACTATTTATTGCCTAGCTGTTTAAAAGATGCTTTGCGACTGCGATCTACTTTACTGTATGAGTTACAAATAAATAGGAAGGAAAGCTAGCTTACATAAGATTTATTTCTTTGAATAGGTAGCCCCATGTTCACCGCGCATTGACCCACTGTGGTTAGTGTCAGACAAGAAGTCAGAAGGAAGCTTGTGATAAACAACTGGAAGCTATGATGACTGACTTTCCGACACTCATAATACCTATAAGCTAGCATCAATTGGTGGTCAAGCGATGTACTTAGCCACTGAACGGAAATAACCACAAAAAATGTTGTCTGCACTAGGACTTCGTCAAGTTTACAACAAGGAAAACTCCGCTATCGGAATTTTTTGAGCACTCAAGTCCCGTCAGATCAGGATCAACCTTCAGCATTGCCTTCTAATGTTTATTCACATCTCGCATGCTATATTCCTACATCATGTTTAGGTTTTCTCCAGCTCTTGATAACAGGTCGATTTCTTAAAAGGGAATGTTTTCCTGGAACTGCACTGTGGGCCACACGTTGGACTTTCAATGTCTGAACCCTCCATCAAATCGTCTGGTAAGCTCGGCTAGCTAAGGTGTATAGTTCACCGCTTCACTGGGTCGCAGTTGCCCATTCGCTGTTCAGTTGAATTGTACTGTGGGGTAGGTTAGGCAAATAGGCACTTTCGGAATCCCAGGTGAGCAAGCAAACAATGGTGATCACCTGTTAAAAGTGTACTTGTAGAACCCTTTATGTCTGAGTAGCACCAACATCGAAGATGACAATGTGGCATCCACCCACCTCAACTCTTTTGTGGATTGGTATACGATTTTGCTACCAGTGACCCCTTGAAGGGAAGGATTGAAGACTGCGACTCCTTCTAGAGTTTGTTTTGACGGGCATTAGACTTATATGTATGCCTGTGAAATGTACGACAGAGAGAAGATTGATCAATAATGAAAAGGTGAATGTTCTAGAAATAAATCATGTGGTTTAATGCTGTAGAGTGGTGGAATGAAATCGTGTGTACCAAAGTCTCAAGGAACCCAGAATGAGACGGGGTGACTGATAGTGAACATTCCAGTCATGGGGTATGATATAGTGTTTCCACTTTGTAGGTTTGTGCTTTTTTTTATAGTCGAGTATTGTGTTCTGTAATGTCAATTCTGCTAAATCCCTTCTGTTGCCTTTACTAAAGTTGATGTTCATGTTCATTCAACCATCTGTCTTTCTATTTCTTCATACTAGACTTTAAAATACGTAGATCGGTCCAAATGATATTATAATTTAAACCATACGCATCAGTGTGGACTGACCTACAGTTAATGTCTATGTTCGCTAAGTCTGATTTCGAGTGATCTTGAGGTTTGGACCTATGTAATTAATGGGGTAGTCAGTGTAATACATTGCATATAGTGCTCATTTGTTGTTAATCAGATTCATTAGTTTGCGAACGGTTTGAACACCAGATTTTATGAGATTTCTTTCATTATAATTTGACTGTCTGAGACGGCCGTAGTTCCGCAAACTAGTATTTATACCGTTATGACTGAAGGTGGAATGAAAATCTGAACTGTAGCGGGATACGAACCACCGACCATCGGGTTTCCGGCCCGATACTCTACCAACTGAACTACAAGGTCCGACTGCTGAATGGATTTTTATTTTACTTCAATCACCATGAGTTTTACCCATGTCAGCAGTCGAGGACTTGCGTCTCAAGCTGGTGAACAAAATCTCGCATCTTCTGATTAGGACACGGAAACCTTATTTAATCGAGTGCTGTTGCACAATTAGAAGGGATTCTTTTCGAAAACGAGTCGTTAGAAGGACTTGGAGATTTCATATGATTGAGAAATGAATCTCTCAGGATGTGTAGGATGGTTTTCAACCAATGCAACACCAAAGTTACCAGGGTGTTTTCTTTACAAAGGTTCTTTGATAGACATCAAGCGTTGAAGTATTCTGGTTTCTCCCGGTGAACTGCAGATCGGCAACTTTCCAAGGCTACTGAATTCTATGGCAACAAAGTCAAAATGTAATGAATGATTACATTGTGGTTAATAATAACAGGATAATCAGGAAGTCAAATTTACCTTCCAACCGATGAAAGCCAAAAATCTGTAATCAGTGGAATTCTTTGCATTATTGGGAATGGAATATTTGTTATTATATTATTCGTCCGTTGGGTTGCTAATGGGACATAGGGCGTCAACAGCACGTCTCCAGTGAACTCTGTTCTCCGAAATCTTGTGAACCTGACTCCACAACAGCCCAGAAGCTCTCATTTCCTCCTCGCACGATCTCCTCCATGTCACCCTCGGACGTCCAACTCGTCGCTCCCCATCTGGGTTCCACTCGAGGGCCTGACGCGTGATGTCCCCAGTCGGCTTTCTCAGTGTATGCCCAATCCATCTCCACTTCCTTCCACTGCATATTTGTTGAGCGATAGGTTCTTGGTTGATTCGTTCCCAGATCTCCTTGTTGCTTATTCTTTCTGGCCATCTGATCTTCAGTAACGAGCCAGCGTAGGTAGTTGTTCATGAATGTCTGTAATTTGTTGGAAATCCCTTTCGTAACGCACCAAGTCTCTGAACCATACAGAAGCACTGACTTGACTGAAATAGTGTTGAAAATCCGGATCTTGTTCACGCTTTGTGCTGAGTGCAGAAGATCTCCACACTGGTTTCGGGCTAATGAACGCCTGTCTTGCTTTTCCGATCCTGGCTGGCTTTGACGTTCTCGTCTGTGCCGCCACCTGTAGTTGAAACAGTGCTGCCTAGATAGGTGGAGGCTACTTCCTTTAAGTTTCTCCTGTTGATAGTGATTAGAGCTTGTTGTTGTTGTTGATGGCGGTGGTGCGGTATCTTCATCACTTCTGTCTTCTCTATATTCACTTGAAGTCCCATCTTCGCTGCCTCTTCTGCAAATTTGTTAGCTTTTGCCTGTAGGTCTTCAAGTTTGTGTGACATCAGGCACAAGTCATCGGCGAAATCCAGACCTTCTAGGTTCTTTTCCACAGTCCAGCGTATCCCCCTCTTCTCGCTCCCCACTGTTTGCTGCATGATCCAGTCGACCACAATCAGGAATATCATGGGTGATAGTAGACGGCCTTGTTTCACTCCTGTCCTCACTTCAAAGGCATCACTGAGCTTCCCATTGTGAATTACTTGGCTGGCATGTGGCGTCTTCATATAGTTGTTGAATGAGATTGATAAAGGTTTGTGGTATTCCGTAGTATTGAAGCAGTTTCCAAATTACTTCTCTGTCGACGCTGTCAAAGGCCTTCTCAAAGTCGATAAAGTTAAGGTAGAGAGTTGACTGCTATTCTGTACTCTGTTCTATGATGATGCGAAGTGTAGCTTTGCAATTTGGTCGGCACATGATTTGTACTTCCTGAAGCCTGCCTGTTCCGGTCGTAGTTTTGAATCCAGTGCATCCTTTAGCCTCTCCAGGATGATGCGGCTTAATATTTTTCTTGCTCTGGGTGGACAGGAGAATGATTCTGCGCCAGTTCTTGCAAACACTGAGGTCTCCCTTCTTCGGGAGTTTGATAAGGTAACCCTTCTTCCAACCGCCAGGTACCTTCTCTTCCTTCCACACCTTCTACAATAGTGGTGTGAGCATGTCTGCTGTTGTCTCTGAGTCTG